TCTCTGATTGAGTGATTTTTTTCTACTCTGTCGTCTAATTCGCTGATCCGATCCTCAGCTTCCCCTAATCTGCTGTTTATTCCTTCCAATGTATATTTTATTTCTACTATGCCATTCTTAATTTCCTTCATAGTTTCCATATCTTTTCTCATGCTGTTGAGCATTTTTCATGATCAGTATTCTGAACTGTATATCTGATAGATGGCTTATTTCCATTTCATTTAGCTCTTCTTCTGGAGAATTCTTTTGTTCTTTCATTTGGGGATTGTTTTTTTGTCTCCCCATTTTGGCTGCCTGTTTGGGTTTGTTTCTATGTATTAGGTAGATCTGCTAGGGCTCCCAGTCTTTTGTGTTTTTTTAAAATATATCTTTATTGATTTCAGGGAGAGGAAAGGAGAGGGAGAAAGAGAGATAGAAACATCAATGATGAGAGAGTCATTGATCGAGCCTGCAACCCGGGCATGTGCCCTGACCAGGAATCGAACCCCGGTCGCCTGGATCCCAGGTCGACGCTCAACCGCTGAGCCACGCCCGGCCGGGCAGGGCTCCCAGTCTTTTGGATGGTCTCTGGTGCAGGACAATGTCAGACGCAGTTTGTGGCTGGCCTTGAGTACCCTGTTTGAAGCTTTCGGCACTCCACAGCTTGTTGTTCCTTCTCCCCAGTCGTGATTAATGTAGCTTTGTAGTGTTCCATTACCTTTTACTGGAAACTTTATGAGGATTCAAAAAGGAGGATTCTGCTTATTAGCCTCAAAGCCTAATAATAATAATAATATTAATAATAATAATAGATGTTTACTGAAACACCCAGATAAGTGCTTTACACACATTAGCTTATTTCATACTGTCAACAGGTAATCATCAGTGTGTCAAACTCTGAGCAGATGTTGATGAACAAATGTAGAATGATCACGCTGTTGTGGATCTCATATTAGTAGCAAATTAACACAGGCTAATTTGAGAGTAACCAAGGGATAAGAAGGCTACTCTAATCCTCATATCAACCCCTATAAAATAGGAAGTATAATTCCATCTGACATGAAGCAATGCAGGCTTAGAGAAGTTAAGTGAAGTTAAGTGACTTGCCCAAGGTCACACAATTAATAAAGGCAGAACTAGGTTATGAAAACAAATGGATAATTAATTTACATTGAGGATATATTAAGGGTTTAGTAATTCCTCCTTTTCTTCTTTTAAAAAAATTCTTCTTCTTTCTGCTGGAAATAGGTTGTTACAGTCAAAGTATGACCAAGGGTTCTTAATTTGGGATTCATAAATGGGTGTCCTGAAGCCAGTGGAACTGTACATAAAATATATGCTGATGCCTTTTTTTTGAGTGAAACTTTATAGGGCTTTTCAGATTCTTAACAGGGCCTGTGATAATAGCAAAGGGTCCATAAACAATTTGAATCATGTGGTTTAGGCAGAAGCCATATTTCCTTTGTGTTTCTCAAAGTACTGTTTTGTTCCCTCTCTGCCAAACTCCTTTCTCTGGTAGCGAGAGATGGGAGGAAATTATACATTTATTTTGTTAGGTTTGAAATAAACTTTATTGTGACATCAAAAATCATATATACATACATATATATATATATATCTCCAAAGTAGATTGTTATTTACAAATTGTAGGGCTTAATAATTCATCTCTCTGTTAGTTCAGAACTTTAGAATTGACTTTGATTCTACTGTCTTTCATATATTTAACATTCCTTTAAGATTTGTTGATTGCATTTTTGAAAGGTCTTTATTTTCCTCCTTTTTAATTCCATTGCCAGTTTAGACTCCCATCTTCTAACCAAGTTATTGCAACATATTATTTTCTAGAATCAAGTCTATTTTATATCTTTTACCACATTGATCTTCCTAAAATACTTTAATTTGTACATTTAATTGACTCTTCATTATCTACAACACCATCTAAACCCTGTCTGACTTTTGGGACCCTAACATACAAACAACAGAAAAAAAGACATATTATATTCCCTACTTTATTGTATCTAATATTATTCCTTCTCCACTGTCTGCTTTTAGTTGTATCAGCTTCTGTTAGTTTTTCAGAACTGCTGTACTTATTCCCATGTATTGCAGTTAGCTATTTTTAAAATTTTGTTTTTTATCAGTGTCTCCTATGACAGGCACCATACTGGATCCTTATTTGTGCCCTTCTCTCTCCGTTAAATGTCTTCTTTACTCCTCCCTATTTCTGTTACTCCAAATTCTGGCTTTCCTTCAGTGCCTAGCTTAAGTATTTTTCCTTTGAAGCCTCTCTTTATTTCCCAAGCTGAAAGTAATCTTTCTTCCCTCCTGTGAATATTCACAGCACTTTAGCCATACCTCTTAAGTTATTTAACTCTTTATATTATGTCAGATATTTAGGTATTTGACATTAGCTTCTTGAGAACAGGCATTATTTCACTAGTATATAAAGATTAATGTAAGGTCCTTGCTATCTACTTCATGTCTAACATTGGTTGCAAAGTTACCTGAATGTGTTGTGTAAAAACAATTGTGTGTTCAAATGAAGATGTTATAAGTATGCTAGAAAAATCTCTGGGAGTAGGAGTAACCTTTGGAGGTATAGATTATTGGTTCTTTTACCAAATGGGATTACTCATATTTTGGTATAAATTGGGTAGTCTCTGGAACTTTTTTTTTTGATGAAGGAAATTAGAAGTGGAGGTTATTCTCCTAGTAGAATTTCTATTTATAGGAAGTAATTTTTCTTTAACTGGTACCTAGCCAACTTGGAAAGTTTCTGTGGCCTTGACAAAGTCAACCATATTTGGACTCTGAAAAGGAAACCTCTGATAATATACCCTTATTACTTTTCAGAAGCATAAATGAGAGAGCGAGAGAGGAAAAAAAGAATCTGAGAATTATTAATACAGCATTGGGGTAAAGAGCAGAAGGTTTGAAGAGCAGTGGAACTGGATTTGAATGTTGTCACTGCCACTTAGTAGTTGTATAACCTTGGGCAAGTTACTTTGTATCTGTAAATCTGCTTTTTATTTGTGAAATGGGGATAAAAATAACTCAAAGTTTTGTGAGGATTAAATGGAATCCTGCCTATACTTGGCACAGTGAGTGTTGTGTACAGTAAATGTTAGATACTAGTACTATGATATAAAAAGTCCGTTTATGTAAGAGATCCTTAGAATCCATTATAACATGCTTGGCATGCCATGTTGTTATACTTGAAATCAGTATATGTGTAGGTGGATTTGTGAGTGACTGATGAGTTGGTAGAATTAAGAGTTTTGCTTTTAGTTTTCCAGTAAGAATCCAAATGCAACCAGCAAATGAAAAAAAGTGGTCTAGGCTAAAGTTGTAGTTTACTTCCACAGAGGCAGTTTTTCTATCAGAAGATAGGATTACTCACATAATGAGCAAATGCCAGATATATTAGATTTTAAAAAATATTTTATTTAGTCACTACAGTCCAAGGCAGAAGAGAAGGAGTTTAAATAATTTGAATTTGCCCAAGCCCATACTGTGTTAGGGTTTTGTAGGGAATTATAGGGAAGTAGTAGGAACTGTGAGGAATTTGAACTCCTCTCTCATTCCAAATCATATACTCTACCTTTGTATTCCTAGCACCTCTCTCTCAACTTGGGGAACTTTAAAAATCAGTGCCTCAGTCACACCTCAGACCATTTAAATCAATTTCTAGAAGTGAGACCCAATCATCAATATTTTTAAAAGCTCCCCAGGTGATTTTATTATTACATGGATTGAAAACTACTGACCTATATCAGTGCCTACAAGAGAGTAAATATTTAATAAATGCTTGACTTTTGAAAGAATATATACCTGACTGCCGAGATGCTCACTTGTAATTCTTTCCAGTATTATAGTCAACCTAGAGTACTTTTGTATTAACTTAAGTCTTAAAGAGGGCTTTGTATTATATTTTGTACCTATTCTCCACTCAGCCCCATGGCATATGTCTAGCAAGATGTCTGGCGAGAGGTAATGTTTTGTTGCTCATATAATTCTGAATTTCCTCCATTACTGGAAAGAATAGGTGTGGAAGTAGGGGAAGGCTCAGGATTTCTTTCTTGTGTCCCATTCAAGATTGAAGACAGGTTGTAAATATTCATTTATTGGTTTTGTTTTAAAATAGTCTTAGATTTTTTAATAATACTTGGTTCAAATTCAGAAGATAGGGATATACATTGAAGATTGTCCCTCTTATCTCCCAGGATGCCATCAGTGTTTATCAGTATTCTTCCAGAGATATTCTAAACATATATAAATAATCATATTTATACATATTTCCCATTTTTACCCAAATGGTAGTGTGTGTATCATGTTTGTTTGTTTGTTTACTTAACAGTTTATCTTCCCATACATAAAGAATTTTATCAGTATATAAATGTTTCCTTCTTTTAACAACTGAATATTTCTTTATTTACAATTTATTTTAATCATTCACCTGTTGATGGATATTTAGGTTGTTTTCAGTTTTTCTCTATTACAAATGATGCTACGGTGAATAGATAAGTCATTTCATTTCTTTGTGAGCATATATTTGTATAAAGCCTTAGAAATTCAGGGTGTTGATATTGCCAGTTTGCCTTGTATGAAGGTTGAATATTTATTGGCTGGGAAATGATAAATGTGAAATTCTGTGAGGGATTAAAGGGATGAAGAAGTGTAAGTGACCAAAAATTATTGTAGCAGGTTGAGAGGATAAGAATGAGCCGATAGCCAAGAATAAAGAGAAAGAACTGCCGGGTTTTGTGGTGTGTGTATACACGGGACACATTTATGATTAAAATATACTAATGAATTTCCTTAAATCCTAAAATTTTTTACTCTTAAAATATATTTTAAATGAGATAGTTTGTGTATAAAAACTCTTCATATCGTTAAGGGAAAAATATCCTTGCTGTTTGCATTTCAGATTTACATTTAACATTTGTTTGATCAAGATTTTTATCTTTTCATGCACAACTATTTTTTACTTGAAATCTCTCTTCCTCTTTTTATTTCCTTAGCCCTGGAAGAAAGCGGGACTTTTCTCCTGTGTCTTGGAGTCAGTACTTTGAGTCCATGGAAGATGTAGAAGTAGAGAATGAAACTGGCAAGGATATATCCTTTGCAAAATGGCTTTTTCTTTAGTAAGCTTATAGTGTTGTTTAAGTAGGAGACTTCTGTAGTTCCTAAAATGTTCCTTATTACTGTTGTATATTTCATTTTTATTCTCCACCTGTTTTTTTGTGTGGCATGGAACATTACCTGTAAGTCATTGCCAATATTTTACGTGGCTATAATTGTCTAATGCATGGGGAAGGGATTAAGAATTAAATTTTTAAAACCGGTATATTTCTTAAGTGCCCAGGGGAAAATTTCATGAGTCAAGTGAGTTGAGCTGGTTCTTAGCATCTAGAAACCAGGGACTATGTCCTCATTAGTGCAAAGGAAATCAGCTTTTTTTCCATTGTAAAAATGGTCATACTGGTCCTATGCTTCAAAAACAGAAGTTAGGTATCTCGGAAACTTCTATTTAAGTGTCTCTTAAGTTTGGAAGTCTGCAGCTTTGCATGTAGCTTCGTGCTGCATGAGTTTTCTCATCAACATTTTTATATGACTAATCAAAAACTTCAATGAACAAAGCTTAGATATGTTATCTTTAACTATTCATACACTTTTCGAGTTTATAAGAGTGGTTCAGAGGGTCCAGTCCTGCTCCTCCTGCATGGAGGAGGCCATTCCGCCCTTTCTTGGGCTGTGTTCACGGTAAGTAAGTAGTTGATAGAAGTAGGTGTTAGCGTGATCATTGTTTACTTCTGGATTAATATAACTAGCCTAACTATTCTTCTGTGCTCACTTATATGGCTTGATTATAAGAAGGTTATGAATGAGGGTCAATTTTGTATTTATTATGGTAGGCCAATATCACCTGTTCTTTAAACTAAAGGTTCTTAACTGGGGTGAGCTTCAGTGCATGAATTCTTCAAACAGTTTGTAAAATGTTTTACATACATTTCATTGAGATGAGGGGGATGGAATTTGTGCCTTGTCAAAAGTAGGGGTCTGTGTCTCAGTATTCTAAGTAATGGATAAGCGGACACATTCTATTCAGGTGCTTCAGATAGAGATAATTTCTATCTGTCATTTTTCTCCCTCATAGAGCCTATTGTAGTACTTTATACATAGACATGTCCCATAAGTATTTGGAAAATAATCCTTCTTTTTTACAAATGATGCTTTACATTTTAATGGTACCTGTGAGCTACTAGGAAGTAAGCAATGTTTGGTTGATGATAACCTGGTCTAGAATAGAGGAGATGTGTCTGTGTGAATGCCTTTGTAGATCTTCCTGATATTCTTGACTCAGGTGTGGCCGTCCATGTGCAAAGAGAGATTCTGCTAAGGGAGATACTAGCAATATTCCTATAAAAAGTGAAATCATGATATCTACTTATGTGTATCAAGCAAATACACATACTTCCTCTAATTACCACTAGGGAGTGTGAGGGACAGAAAATGGGAGCAAATGGGAACGCAGCACTAGATACCTGGAGCCAGTTGGCTGTAGAGTTGAGGAGGCTTTTGAATATATCATTTTGTTTCTGGCAAAATTATTGTGATTAAGTATAAAATCACCTTCTAGTCTCCTCTATTAGATTATGAATCCTTTGAGAACAGGGATAATGTCTTACTCTTTTTTGTTTCCCAGATGCCTGAAACAATTCTTGACACATAGGCACTTATTCAACTGTTATCCTGTCTTGTTTGCTACTTCCTTTCTCTTTTCTCTTGCTTTAGGATATAGCTGTATGATTTACCCATAAGTGCCAGGCTCTTTCATGTCTCTAGACTGTGTTGTCAAATAGAGATATAATGCAAGCCATATATGTAATTTTCAATTTCAGAATAGGGACATTAAATAGCTAAAAAGAAACAGATAAAATTAATTTTAACATATTTTATTTAATTCATTCTACCCCAAATGTTATCATTTTAACAGGTAATCAATATAAAAATTACTGTTGAGATATTTCACATTATTTTTTATACTGTCTTTGAAATCCAGTGTGTATTTTATACTTATAGCACATTTCAGTTTGGACTAGCCACATTTCAAGTCCTTAGTAGCATAGCTTTAGACATTTACATTCCTCAACTAGATTGTAAGCTTTTTTGTTGTTGTTAATCCTCACTTTTGAGGATATTTTTTCCACTGATTTTTGTTTTTTAGAGAGAGTGGAAGGGGTAGGGAGGAGAGAGAGAGAAACACAACATTGTGAAAGAAACACATCGATTGGTTGCCTCCCTCACACACCCCAACTGGGGCTGGGGATGAGACCTGCAACCCAAGTATGTGCCCTTGACCAGGAATTCAGTTTGCATCCTTTTGGTGTGTGGGCCAGCGCTCTAACCACCGACCCACTGGCCAGGGCGATTGTAATCTTTTTTAGAGGCAAAGATCATGGTTTATTTTTGCCTGGCACATATTGTGTGCTTAAGGAATGTTTTTTGAAATGAACAGATAACAGCAACATCTTCCTAATGTAACAGGTACAGTAATAATAAATATACTCCAGTTGCCCTGAACCAAGGTCAGAGCCGCCAGAAGTGGCTCATGTACCATGACTTGCCTGGCTCTGCTCTAAGCTAATATACACTGTCACTGGGCAGCTAACACATTGGAGACGTGGAAGGAAAGAGATATGTGACTGGGGAGAGGAAAGAAGCACTATCTAAATTGGCATCACATTCAGACAACTGTATTGAAACTTGCTAAGGATAGTGACTCCAGACTGCCTCATCAGAAATTTGGCAAAAAGTAGTCTATGGACAGGAAAAGCTTTATTCCAAGAATAGTAATTAATGGGTTACAAGATTTTGTAAAATTTGATGAGAAGTACATGTGTAGGCTAGAGGTGGCCTCACTATAGTCTTTGAACTTTTGAGCTGCTTCCTAGTAGTCTAGTGCAAAATCAGAGATAACATTACCTATTTGAGCATTCAGAGCCCTTAGAGATGAGGGATCTAGGTAGGGCTAGAACAGACTTTTCACAAAACAGCTATTGCTTTTAACACTAAGAGAAGGAACAATGAAGTAGGAGTCTAGCTCCAGTTTTATTGGTACTAGTAAAACATCTTTGAGAAAGCTACTTTAGCCCTTGGGCAAGCTACATAAGCCTTTATTCTCCAAATACAGGCTCCTTACACTTCAAGGTTTCTTTGAAGATTATGTAAAGTAATGGATATAAAAACCTGTACAAATATTATTATAAGCTATTTGTTGACATGTATTGATATTAAATATTTTTATCCTATCGACTGGAACAATGAAATAAGATGGAAAGAGCCTGGCATAGAGGAAGTGATTGATAAATAGCTGCTGACATTATTATACTTGAATACATGAGCACACATTATTATATTTGTTATCATTGTAGAGGATATCTCTGGTTCTTCTTTTACCAAAATATATTCTACAGATTACAAATTCCATGAGAAATTAATGAAATAGGGATTTTGTGATTAAATGACTTTGAGAAATACTACATGTAATATCCTTTTCTTATTCCTCTCTCGGAAATTCATCCTACATATCAGTATATTATTAAAGCCTTTATTAAAACTATTTAATTTCAACGGTGTCTTCCAAATATATTTGACTGCTCTATTCCCTTTTTATAAAATATTTAAAACAATTGAATCTGAAGTGTCTGCTGATTCTCACACTTTGTGAAACTCCTTTGTAGATAGATCATTGTGTCCTGATTGCTTATCTGGTTTTCTTGTGTAACCAAGGAAATTCCCTACCACTCAATTAACCTAATAGATTGGACTTGGCTGGTTAAATTTGCCTGCCCTTTTTTGTTGTTATTTCTGCCAGTGTACCAGCCCACTGAATGAGTTTATATGTGACCATGCTTTGAAAATAAAAATGGCTACATAAAAGTTGGTGCTCTTGTAATTGACTGGACTCCAGAGCTCATATTTCCTCAAGTACTGGAATGTGTCTGTGAATCCAGAGGGCAGCTCTGGCAAATAGCAGGAATAAGCTAAAGCATATTATAATCATGAGAGGCAGAATTTCCCTGAGACCTTTGCTCAGATAATATTTAGTAGAATAAGGCAATAAAATAGAAGCAAAAAGGCCCTAGCATAGCAGGAAGACAAGTATACTGACAGACAAAGGAAGAGATGAACAGCTGTGATTGATGTTTATGGTGCTAGATCATGAGACCCTTGAGAGCAGGACTGTGCCTTATTCACCCTTATAGGTGTAGCACACAGGGCCAGGCATGGAGCTGATGCTCCGTAGTTCTTCCTTGAATAAGTTAATACCAACTTCCAACAATTAAGAAAAGGTTACATTTTGTTCATTGTGTCCTGTTTAAGAAAGCAGAAAAGTAGGTAATTTTCCTAAAGGGTTTATCAAATGACAGTAAGTCATTTACATTTGACTGATAAATAAAGAAGTTGTATAACATGGTTAGAAAAATCCCTAACTCCAAAAGACACAAGGCCAAAGGACATGAAGAGATAGTTCATAGAGAGCAAACAGAGAATGTTTATCCTCACTAGTAATCAGATATGATTCATAAGAGGTATCATTTTTTTACATATCAAATTAATATTTTTCAAAACAAATCCTCTGTTGGCAAAGGTACTAGAAAAGGAATACTTGCAAACATTGCTGGTGGCATTTAAATAGCGCTTTTTTGGAAAGTAATTTACACTGTGATTGAATCATCAAATATTATATTGTTTGACATAGGCATTGTACTTTTAAGAATCTGTTCTAAGGAAAAATACCAAATATGGGAAGAGCCATTTGTCTAAAATTAACAATCCCAATGTCCAACAATAAGTAAATGGTTAAGTATACTGGATGTACCTATAAGACAAAATATTATAGAACCTTTTAAAAGAATTCTCCTGGACGCTATGGAAAAAGCTTTTTTCCTGTTTTTCTATTTTCTAGGTTTTCTTTCAGTTGTATGTTTTTTAATTACTTTCATAACTTAAAGATTGTTTTTTCTTTAATGGACACTGTTTTCAAAGTAAAAAGTTTATATTAATTTAAAAAGTTGTATTCAAAGATTGTATTCAGTTCTGTATCCCACAAGTTAAAAGGAGATTGGCAAACAAATTTGTCCAGAAAAGAGCATCCAGGATTAGAGTACTTAAAATAATAGCATTCAACTTTATGTTTGGCCTGAGAAAAGCAAAGACTTGGGAGGCATAATACTTGCTTTCAACTGTAATGTTAATTTTTTTAAAATCAGCACATCTTTTAAAAATTTATTATGTGCCAGGTACTGTGCTAAGTGCTTACCTTCATGATCCCATTTCATCCTTTCTGTATTTCTGTGAGGTTAGGCAGATGAGAACATTAAAATTTAGAGAAATAACAGCTCGTTGCAGCCCCAGAATGTAAAACTACCTCTGTCTGCCTCCAGTGTCATGTTTCTCTGGAGACCAGTTCTACACTGCCTAAGAGTAGATACTCAGGGCAGAAGCTATAGATACATATTTTTGATACACATAAGGCAGAGCTTCTAAAGATTGGGACAGTTTCAAAGCAGACAAGGCCCTCTGCAGTGGAAAAGTAAGCATCATCTTGGTAGTGTTCCAGCATAGTGCATATTGTAGAATTTAATTGTGAATATATCCTAAAGTTCCTTCTTATCCATCATTTATAAAATTTCTGGTCCTGAGTAGAAATGCTTTTGCATTAAATGTTTTGTGGGGTTTTGGGGGGAACCCCAGAGATTCACCTGAACAAGCTCTATTAACTGTCAAGAGAAAGCATTTCTACTTTGGCTTTAGTAACAGGAAAAAAAACAACCCTGTGTGTGTATGTGTGAGAGATTATCTTTGATTAAAGGATGATAACTAAGGGAAATTATGGTCTTTTAAAAGGTAAGCTTTAGATTTCTAAAAAATTAATTTTTTGGAATTCTTTATTCCTTGTTTATATTCAGTAAATTTGTTATTACTGTAGTTGTTGCTATAATAATCAAGTTGATCATATGTAGTGGATAATACAATACTTAGGGCTTCTATAGACCTCTCCATCAGCAAGTACTGGGTATAACAGACTGGCATAATTGCTGTGGGAGAATTCAGAACTAAGCAGAAATTAGTTTGGCTGAGAAAGCAGAGGAGCAGTGGGAGCTCATTAATACATACAGCCTCAGCAGGCTAGATTTTCCCAGCCTCCAGTTGTTTTCAGCTTTGGTACCTCTAAGGGACCTGGGACCAAACAAGTGTGAATTGATTGAAGCCAGTAATTGAATCTGTAATCTCTGTTGATTCTTCTTTCAGTTAATTCAGTTCATGTTAGCAAATATTTACTGAGTATATTCTATATTTCAGGTATTGTGCTGGGTTACTAAAGATAGGAAAGTGAGCGTTCACTCTTTAACAGGATTAGCCAGCCAATCAGCAAATACTTGATAAACCCTTGTTTTGTACAAGGCAGTATGCTAGGTCCTATAGGTACAGTAGAGAATTATATATGCTATCTTCTTGTTCATATGATGATTTAAGTCTAATAGGGAAGGTAGGAAAAATGGAGATGGCACATATATACAAATAATAAGCAAAAATTTTAAGAAGCTTTCATTTCAGACAGATTGGGGTTTGACTCTCAAAACCGCTTAATCTGCCAAGCTTTAGTTTCTTAATCTGTAAAGTGGATATATACCATCTAGTTAATAGGGTGGTTGTGAGAATAAACAAAAGATGCGCAGTTCTTAATAAAGTGCTTTACTCAAGCACTCAGTTTTAGATGAATTTACAGCATCTAATGTAGGAGGTACAAAAGTAACGGAAGATATAAACTTATAAAAATGGGCCTATCTTACTAGTAATGAGGAAAATATAAAGTAAAATAAAAAAATACCACTTTTCACTGATAAATTAGCCAAAGTTATAAAATTTGAGGATGTGTCATGTGTCTCTGAGGATACCTGTTTTCCACACCTTCACCAATACTTGATATACCTCTCATAATCTGTTTTGTCAGCTACAAAAATTAGGCTAATATTTTCCCAATCTACTTCTCAGAGAGATAATTTGGTGAGATAACGAAGTGATACAAAAAATGTTATTACCACCCAGATTTTACGTCTGTTCTTGTCTGTTATGCTCTAATCTAGGACTAGGATGAACTTAGAATTATTACAATCACCAGGGGAACTCTAAAATGTGTAGATACCCTGGCCCCTCTGATGGATTAGCCTGGGTAGTAGTATTTCCTAAAGCTCCTTATGTGATTCTGTTATGCAGCCAGAGTTGAGAACCACCTGGAGCCAGGCTGCTTGGATTTTAATCTTGGCTTCACCATTTATTAGCACTTATTAGCTGTTTGGCCCTAATCAAGTTACTTAAATCTCTCTGTAAAATGTCCTCACCTGTAACATGATGAAAATTACGTCTAAATAAGAGTTGTGAGGAGAAAGAGAATTAATTTGAAGAACTTAGATTGGTGCTAAAACTAAAGTCATCCCAATTCCTGATTTTAAATTTTATAGCAAAGCTACAGTAATCAAAACAGTGTGATACTGGCATAAAAATAGGCCAATGAAACAGAATCAAGACCTCAGGAATAAACCCACACATATGTGAACAACCAGTATTTGACAAGGGAACCAAAAAGACTCAATGGGGAAAAGATAGTCTTTTCAATGAATGGTGCTGAGAAAACTGGCTAACCACATGCAGAAGAATGAAATTGGACCCCTATCTTACGCCACTCACAAAGATTAACTTGAAATAGTTTACAGACTTAAATGTAAGACCTGAACCTATAAAACTATTGGAAGGTTGCATTTTCATTTTTGCGGTTTGGTTTGTTTGCTATATAGAAGCTTTTTAGTTTGATGTAGTCCCACTTGTGTATTTTTGCTTTTGTTGTCTGTGCTTTTGTTGTTATAACAAAAAAATTATTGCCAAGATCAATGTTAAGTGGCTTTTTCCCTGTTTCCTTCCAGGGAAAAGATAACCAAGGAATATGGATGAAAATCATAGTTAATAGCAGAATGCAGAGGATCACTGCTTAGAGATACTCACTCTGTGTTTCATGAAAAGCTAGGAAGAGTTAAGCTTTATGGAGGGATTTAGGTGGAGAGAGCCATATTTTGAAGTTGGAATAGAACCATTATATGCACCAATAAAGCAGAAAATTGTCATTTAAAAATTTTGCCTAAAATTGGAAAGTCGTCTTTTGATTGTCTTGAGATCCTTGAATTCTGATAGCAGTTCATTCAACAAAGTTATTGGTAATGGGGAAAAATTTGTTAACCCATAATGTATCTTACTACTTTTCCTTTTCCTCCTAGGCAGCAATCATTAGTAGGGTTCAGTGTAGGATTGTGGCTTTGGATCTGCGAGGTCATGGTGAGTGAAGTTCTTTTTTTTATTCTTTTTTTACTAATCTTCACCTGAGGATATTTTTCCCATTGATTTTTAGAGAGTGTAGGAGGGAGGAAGGGGGGAGGGGAGAAAAACATCAATGTGAGAGACACATCGATTGGTTGCCTCCCTCACAGGCCCCGACCAGGGCAGTGGGTAGGACCTGCAAACCCAGATACATGCCCTTGACTGGGAATCAAACACAAGACTCTTTGGTGCACTGGGCCCATGCTCCAACCACTGATCCACACCAGCCAGGGCGAGTGAAAGTCTTAATTAGTTCTGACTGAATGACGTTATTTGCCAAGCCCTTTGAATAGTGTTAAGTATTAAAATTGCAGCGTGGCCATCAAATAACCTGGTCTTTCCATGTGGGCACTTTGAGAGAAGTTCTAGCTTGCAGTTTTAATAAATATTTTATAAACACACACACACATATATTTGTTGTTGTTTAGCTAAGAAAATGTCCTTTAACCAAATTCTGATGCTGGTGTTATATAAGGAATGTGAATAAATCATTTTTAGGGTACTGTAATTATCCTCCTTATGGTGTGCAACTATAAAGGTGTGTGTAACAAAATTTTTGCTAAGTCCACCATATATAAGTATAAAGTTCCCATTTTATTGTCCAAAGGTGAGATTTTTGAAAGAGAATACTCTTGTGCTTATAATTCCTATCCTTGGAAATTTTATTTTTAAAATATTTTCTTTTTAGGTGAAACAAAAGTCAAGAATTCTGAAGACCTGTCCGCAGAAACAATGGCAAAGTAAGTAATCTAATATTGTTTGTACATCACCTGACTTTCATTAGTATTATAAAGAGTAGCATACCTTTATCACTCTCCTGGTGAGATTGTTAGAAAATAATTCGTAAATGCTCTGTTCTCTTTTACTTCTATATCTGGTGTCTCCTTACTATTTAATCTCAAAGAAACATTCATCTTTATTGGTATATTCAATATGATGGTCATACTTAAAGCACTTGAAAATTCTTCAAGCCACAGTTTAATTTGTATTGGCTTTTGAAAAGTTTTCTTTTGTTGAAATTGTTAAATAGAATCTGGATATCAGTTGGGGACTCATGCTTGGAAAAGTAATTGTATACAAGAGTCCATGTGAAGTGTTCTTAAGGTATACTGCACACATTCTTTTTCCAATGTCCTCTCAGTAGTTGATCAACTTTGGCCAAAAATATCTTGCCCCTTCTTTCTTTAGCAGCTTTAATCCAAGAATAAACTGTTTTTCCTTTAGAGCCCAAACTCATGTGGCCATAATTTTATTGTTTATAATAGATTTTTTTTTTTTTTTTTTAATCCTCACTTGAGGATATTTTTCCATTGCTTTTCAAAGAGAGTGGAAGGGAGAGAGAGAGAGAAAAAGAGCCCATCAGTGTGAGACAGACACATGGATTGGTTGTTTCCCGCACATGCCCTTACTGGTGGGGATTGAGCCTGCAGCGGAGGTACGTGCCCTTGGCCGGAGTCAAACCCGGACTCTTCAGTCTGCAGAGCGACACTCTAACCACTGAGCAAAACTGGCCAGGGCTGCCAGGCTTTATTAAGTGTAAAATAAGCCTTTATTAAAAATAAATAATTAATTAATTTAAGTTATTTAAATTTGCATTAATAACTCTGTAGTGTAGATATTATCACTTTTTTACCAGTGAGGAAACTAGTTTAAATAGGTTGAATAACTGTATGAGGTCACACAGTTAATGGACCAAAATTGTGATCATTCAACTATAGAGTTTGTCAGAGAGAGAGAGGAGAGGGGAGGGGGAGGGGCAGGGAGAGGGAGATGAGTTATTAATAAGCTATTGTATACCTAAAAGTTTAAGAGGATTCCCTGGCTGGTATGGCTTGGTTGAGCTTTGACCCATGCACTAAGAGGTTGCTGGTTTGATTCCTGATCAGGGCACATGCCTGGGTTTCGGGCTCATTCCTCAGTAGAGGGCATGCAGGAGGAAGCTGATCGATGTTTCTTTCTCATTGATGTTTTTCTCTCTTCCTCTCCCTTCTTCTCTCTCTAAAATCAATAAAAACATATTAAAAAAAAGTGTAAGAGGGTAAGTCTTACGTTAAGTGTTCTTAACACACAAACACATGCACACACAAAAGGGATTCAGGGAAACTTTTGGAGGTAATGGATGTGATTAAGGTGATCCTTGAGTTATGTTAACACAAATACATACATATACACACACACACACACTCTTACCAAATTGTATAAATTAATTATGTATCGCTTTGTATACTAATTATACCTCAATAAAGCTAGGAAAGAAAAACATTGGGGATGGGGGTTGGAGTGCTGGAGAAATCGGGCACTGGGGAAGCTGTATGTGGTGCAGGAGCTGGAGGCTTCCTCTCCTTCAGGACCTGGGTACTAGGGAAGTGCAAATTATGGGAGCTTGTGGAGAAAACACACATGAATCAGGAACAAAACCCTCTGCATTGTCTGTCCTGTGTCCTCTACTGATGTAGCATAACATCTTGCCAGCTGGCAAAGGAAAAACATTTCAAGCCCTCAGACCCAATATTGCAGAAAGGTGAGTTGGGGCTGAGAGATGATAAGTTGATAACTGGCCCCCAAAATTTAGAGAAAATAAATGATTAAAATAATCTAGAACTGATGATGATGATACCAGGAATGATAAGAGCCAATGAATTGGATTCTTGCTGAAATAGTCTAAGCAATAAAACTTTTATATGATTTCTGAATTCAATCACTCTGTGAAACAAAAATCCCAGGTTGGTTATACTTAATGGGCGATTAGTGGGGTTTTCAGATAGTACTGACAGAATGATTTTCACCTTACATACCAACTTTAGAACCTATACCTTACATAAGATGCAACTCCACTGAAAGTAGAAGAGCCAAGATTTGAGCTTACTCTGATATTCCTTTTCTGTTATGTCTGTGATGTGCTATACTGCTTTTCAGAAAATGAATCTAGTATTAATAAGTATGATAAAACCCCCTTAGAGAGCAACTACTGAAATTATGGTACATCCAGTTACAGACTAGATTTGTCGTTAATCTCTACTTCATTTTTATTTTATTTCTCCGGAATTTCAGGACATTTCTCAAGTAAGATTCTAATCTTGGTGACTGAATTCTTTGACTAACTTTAATAATACATTTCTCCTGGTGATAAATGACCAATGGGTTGATCATAACCAACTTTTATCTGGACGAAATATACCTTTCCTGAGCTTAATACAGTATTAAGTTGGTTTGTTTTAGACGCTGTTCACCTTCACGCATGAAGCAGCTATCGTAGAACCCTCCAACTTAATATTTTAAGGAGACCTGGATTTAGATAATCTTCTGTAGCATCCTTTTATTTTACTCATTATATCTGTTACTAACTCAAAATTTTAGCTTTAATTTAACTCCAAAGGAATATTAAACTATTATTTGTTTTCACTTATAAAGTTGGGAGCCTTCTTATCTCCCATTCAGATTGTCTGCAGATGCTGCAGCTACTGCATTGACACGTGTATTGTATAAGGTTTTTAAGATTAATTTCTTTAGAAATAATATTTACCTTTGATATTCTGAATGCTGTGGAGACCTATTCGAAAGGCTATGTCCCTACACAACCTGCCATATTTGGCTAACACTGTGAGTGCCTGAGGTATGTAGAACACTCAGCAAGACAAAATTGTCTTTTGAACTTGACTGACTCAGCCACTTCCAAAAGAAGACAGTAGAGCCAGTGGTTCCTAGAAACCCACCATACTATACTTACTATTGCTATAGCAAAGAAGGTCTAAGCAAATAAAACCCCAAATTCCTACTCCAATTCTTGTTTTCAAAGCTGTAAGGTTTTACTTTGTTAAACAGATCTACCCATAATTAAAGGCGAGAACAGAAGCCAATAAAAATTAGCTTTAGACATCTTTCAAGCTTTTTCAGAATACTATACTTAACATTTATGTTCATACTTCAAGCAACTGTACATGACAAATTGTAAATAATAACATTTGTATAGCACTGTATCCTTTTAAAAGTATTTTCACATTCACTCTCAGTTAATTCTCACAGCTATTTGGAATAATAAATGATGTCCTTATCTTCATTTTATAGATTTTGACACTCTGAAAGGTTAAATAACTAATCCAAGTCCATATAGTAAAAAGTAGACTTGGGCTGTAATTCATCTTGTGACTCCAAACTTCACTACATTGTAATGCTTAATAAAGTTGTTTTCCTGTTTTATAGATAGGGAAACTGAGGCATAGAGCAGTTAAATGACTTGTACAGAGTTTCAAGCTTTAAAGATATATGTTTATGTAATTGTACTAAATGTGTGGAACAGTAAAAGTTATATAAGTGAAAGTCAGAAAATTTGGGTTCTTAGTCCTTAATCTGCCATTTATCAGAAGAACTAGGTGTGTGGCTACATGTACAGATACCAGGGATGTGTTAGGAATTTTACATAGTTACATTTGCAAGATGGCGCAGTGGACCTTTACAGTCCTAGGACTGTTAGTTACAGACCATAGGAAGGAGTTAAGAAAGATAACTATTTTAGTGTTGTCAGAGAGCATTCCCAGATTTTTTTCCTTCTCTTTGCAGAGATGTTGGCAATGTGGTTGAAGCCATGTATGGGGACCTCCCTCCTCCAATTATGCTGATTGGACATAGCATGGGCGGTGCTATTGCTGTCCACACAGCATCGTCCAACCTGGTGCCGAGCCTCCTGGGACTGTGTGTGATTGATGTTGTGGAAGGTAAGTTTTTTTGTGCTAACTGAATCAAAATCTTTGACTTATAAGAGCCATCCTGGTAGGTTATTATCATGTTTTAATTTATTGTTGATTTCACTCACCTTGAAGTATGTCCCTTTATCTTTTATATCTTTCTTTTATGTTATTTTGTGGCAAAGGCATTCCAAGTTTTTTTAAACTGGGACATAATGGACATATGTATTGGACATAATGGACTTTGTATTAGTTTCATTTGTACAATACAGTGATTTGATATGTGTACAGGGTGAGGTAAAACTGGGCTTACAGTTTATATGGAAAATTATATGATAATAAATAATACAAGACTAAAGTCTGTATTTTGCCTCCTCACGACTGTAAACCTACTTTTGCCCCACCCTGTATAAATTGCAAAATCACCATAATATGTCTAGTTAATATCCATTACCACATAGAGCTAAAATTTTTTTTCTTGTCATGAGAACTTTAAGATCTATTGTCTTAGCAACGTTCAACTGTATAATACAGTATTATTGACTATAGTTAACATTGAATCCCCAGGACTTATTTATTTTGTAACTGGAAGTATGTATTTTTTTACACCTTCACTCATTTAATATACCCCCTACATTACCTAATCATTCTCCGTGACATAAGAAACTCTTCATAAACATCTTTTATGGCTGCATAATATTTTAATTGTATATATACCCCATAATTTTATTTAACATTTAAAAAGAAGCCCAGCCATTGTGGCTCAGTGGTTGAGTGTTCACCCATGCACCAGGAGGTCACAGGTTCGATTCCTGGTAAGGGCACAAGGCCAGGTTTCAGGCTCAGTCCCCAGCAGGGGGCATGCAGGAGGCAGCTGATTGATGTTGATGTTGCTCTCTCATTCATGTTTCTATCTCTCTCTCTTCCTCTCTCTCTAAAAAAGCAATGAAAACATTTAAAAAAAAATTTTTTTTAAAAAGAATCTGCCATGTCTTCTATGACCCAGTTTCAGAAATCACACTGTCACATATACAACTTAGCCCTGTTCATTGTGGGGTACTACATGGAGTGAATACCAGGAGACAAAAATTATTGGAGGCCATCTTGGAACCTGGCTATCCTTTCAGTCTTCTGAATTTTCTTAAACTTTTCTTTATCTTTTTTCCCCAAGCATCACTGAATTCTGCTATCATTGAGGGCAGAATATAGTTGACCCAGTAAGTGTAAATGCTTGAAAATGTTAAGGGCTGTGGTTAAAATTTTTGTTTAACATCTAGGTACAGCCATGGATGCCCTTAATAGCATGCAGAATTTCTTACGTGGTCGTCCTAAAACCTTCAAGTCTCTGGAGAATGCCATTGAATGGAGGTAATCCACAAATCTATATTGTCTATATTTTAAATGTTAGGTCGTAGCTTTCCTTTTTCATCAGCTCAAGCACCAAAGTTTAAAGGAATAATTCCATGCCTTAGCTTTATTGTAACATCACGGATGAAAACATTTATGTAAAGAGTAGAATTAAAAAAAAAAAAATTTAGCCTGGCCGGGCATGGCTCAGCAGTTGAGTGTTGACCTAGAATCCAGGCGATCGGGGTTCACTTCCCGGTCAGGGCACATGCCCGGGTTGTGGGCTCGATCAATGACTCTCTCATTATTGTTGTTTCTGTCTCTCTCCCTCTCCTTTCCTCTCTCTGAAATCAATAAAGATATATTTAAAAAAAAATTTTTTTTTAAATGCTTCAGACTTGTCTCATTTGCATAAAATCCACCCTTTTTCTAATATACTATAGTGTCTCCTTCAGTCTTTGTAATTATGCATCATCTGATGTTTAGCTGTTTCCATCTCTAAGGTGAGAGTTTAGGATAACTGAGACCCTAAGACCTCTTCCACCTCTGTTGCTCCATGGTTCTAGATTCATTTTCTGTGTTTCAGAGAAAATGATGGAGAAACAGAAGTTAGGTGTAGAATCTTTTCTGAGTTTTTATTTGGGTTTTGGGTAAATAAAAGCCCTTTGGGTAAATAATTTTCATAAAAATCACTGACAGAATTGTGTATGGCTTTCACTTAAGACTGTTCAGTCATTAATTTATTCATTAATTCAATCAATTTTTGATTAAATATTTATTAAACACTTTGTGCTAATGGGTGAAGATTCAGAGATAAGTAAAACACTGTTGTCGTCCCCCCACAAGGAGATCAGTCTTCAGATAAAACATCAGATAAAACATCTTTAAATAGTATCCCATCTTCCTACCTATTCTTCAAAATCTATCTCCAGTACCTTCTCCAGAACCCTTTTTAACTGCTCCAAACCACACAAATTACTGCCTTGGTAAAACTGCTTGAGACCTTTAAGTCTGTATTATATTGTACTGTTTACCCCTTAAGTCTTTTAGTCCTTCCTTAAAAAAAATACGCTTATGTTGTTAATTTTCATCTCTGTCTTCATGCCCTTCCTGCATCATAAAGGCAGCAGTTATTCTCTATTCCTTTGTACTTTCATATAGCATATAGCATACTGCTAACTGCCTTAGCAGGCATAACGTATCTGTTAACTGAATCAGAGATATCACATGGAAATTAAGGACATGGTAAATATATCCTAAGGGAGTTTTCCTAAGACAGAGAGTCTCATGTCAGATATGCTTGCCAGAATGATGTGTGTGTTTAGTGAGATTGCTCCTACCTTCCCTGTTCATGCTACTGTTCTTGAGCATGGGCCTGACACATAGTATCCCCTTGGTAAATATTTGCAGAACTGAAATGGCTTCAATATCTTTATTTAATTTTTACTATTCAGTTTATAGACATAATAACCAAGTGGGAAGTAGTAGTAACCTCCATATAAGCTACAGTGGTAACTATAACTTTTTAGTAGGTCCTCCAGAATCTGTAAAGTTATTCATTTGACCCTAGTGACATGATAAGGTGGATCCTGAATAACCTCTCTCCCTTCTTAATTTTCTCTTCTAGTGTGAAGAGTGGCCAGATTAGAAATCTGGAGTCTGCCCGTGTCTCAATGGTTGGCCAAGTCAAACAGTAGGTCTTATTTTTCCCTGTTGGGCTGGTGAGAGAACGAAACATGGTGATGGAATTTGCTTTTTCCCTCGTACACTTATCCTACTATCCTTGTGAATGAATGCCTTCATTATTTTTAGATAATTTTTACAAATGAGCCAGTGATATAGTATTTCTTTTCTTTTTTCTTTCTTTATTTTTAAGGAAATCCCAAAACCAAATTGCGTCTTCTACATAGCATTGGATTACCTTATTATCACAACTCTAGGTATTAAAGGTGAAGAATCCCAGAGAATGTACATTAAAAATTAAGTGGCCAACCCTGGCCAGGTAGCTCAGTTGATTAGAGCGTCATCCTAATACACCAAGGTTGAGAGTTCGATCACGAGTCAGGGAACATACAAGAATCAACCAATGAATGCATGCATAACTAGAACAACAAATTGATGTTTCTCTCTCTCTCTATCAAGTCAATTAAAAAATTAAGTTCCCACTCAAGTGCTGGCAGTATGGTTTCATTCTGGTAAGTCTCTTTCTAAGCCAGATATGGTTGTGAGGAAATAGCATAAAAGCTTTAGCATAACTTGAGTAAAAGCTAGATTCTAAGGGTGAGCTAAGATTATTTAGCCCAATTGGTTTTCCTGGCTAGGATTACATGAGTCCTGGATATTGCTATGCAGTCACAAAAGAAACTTCAGGTGAATTGAGAAAATGTTGCCCAGTGGAACAGATAGGAAACATAAGAGTCAATGAAATGGTAGTGGCATTATTGAATGTGTGCTATATGTCAGGCACTGTGCAGGGTATCTTACATATACTATCTCATTTTTTGAAACCTTGTATTGAAAATTTTCAGACATATAAAAGTAGAATAATACATTGAAATCCAATGTACCCATTGCCCATTTTCAACAATTATTGACTCATGGCCAGTCTTGTTTTATCTGTACCTCTATTTATTTCCCCAATGCACAAAATATTTTGAAGTAAATCCCAGAAAAATACAATTTCCTCTATAAGATTTCAGTATGCTCTCTATAGGTTCTACTTCTCTCTCTCATTTTTTTTCTTGCAGTTTATGTGTTGAGGAAGCCTGGTTATTTGCTCTGTAAAATTTCCCACAATCTGGATTTGCTGGTTGATTCCTGTAGGTGTAATTTAACATATTCCTTTGTTCCCTCTATTGTCTGTAAATTGTTAGTGAGATCCAGAGATTTGATCAAATTCAGTTTGATTGGTTGTTATTTTGGTTTTTATATTTGTTTTTAAGAGTAGGTGATATTATTTAATGCCACCGGGAAGCACATAATGTCTGCTTGTCTCTGTTTTTGAATGTAAGTAGCCATTGATGATCGTGACCTGGATTCATTAATTCATTTGCTTTATCTCATTTAATCCTTACAGTACCTTTTTAAGATAAGTTGTTTTATAGGTGAGGAAGCGGAAGTTCAAAAAGGCGTAGTGATTTTCTCAGGATCACATAGCTAGTGCATCACAGAGCTCAGATTCAAACTTCCGTGTATTTGACTCTAAGGCCTATGTTATGGATTTTACAACTAAAAGGACAATTTGAATAGTAATATCTGGCAGACACATAGCAGAGTCTTTGAGTAAACTGTGAAACTGCCTACTTTTCAGTGCCCTAAATATTTTGAGATCTGACTTGTCTAAGCAGTGGTAAAGCATTTTGTAAGGAAGTTACATGGCTGATAGGCACGTAGTTAACTGACTTTTAAATTTTACTATTTGTAAATTTAAGTAGTGTTTTCTCTTAATTTGTAAACCTGTGTATGTAAGAGTATATGTGTTTTAATTGTCATGTAGATATTAATTGTAACATTTCTGCTGCCTTCGTCTAGGTGAAATTCTCTTGAATCTCCCAGTTCATAGCTATGGAAGAAATCCAAAGCACGTGTTACTTTTTTGTTATGGTCCTTTGACCTAGATGTGAAACTTGATACCTCAAGTTCAATAGAAACTCCCACTTAACAAAACATTTATGAACATAGGCTTTATTGAAGGTTTGGTAGAGGAGATAGACAATTCTTGTCTACCATGCATAGCAGACCTTGGCACTAGCTGCTGTTCTGGTCTTGGGATTTTTACCTTTAATATTTGTCAATATATTTTTTTCCAATAAGTTCTCTTTAAAAGTAATTATAGTACCAGCTATTCATATAATAATATTTTTTCTACCTAATTGCATAATAAAGAGAGATTGTTTTTAGAGGAAAAACAACAATAATAATTGGTTGGATCAGATGTTCTAATCTGCAAGGTTCAGCTGGCATGGTCATTGTAATTGCCAGTTTCTACCAGCTAATTAAAAATTGGGGGCTTTTCACCAGTCTGTTTGAATCTTGTTTTCTACTATAAGCAAGGTATAGGAGAAAAGCATCATGCTTTAGAATTATTTGGGCCTGCATTTGCCTACCAGCTTCATCTACTCATGAGCTAGGTGACCCTGGTCTATTTTTTAACTCTTGAGGCCTATTTATAGATTGTTAAGAGGATTATATAAAATAATTCGAATAAAACTCTTGTCACCATGCCTCAGGAAGTGGTTACTGCCTTCTGTTGGTCAGTTTCTGTGCAAGAGCTGGAACCCATCCCTTGGAGTATAGTCATACATTGGTCGTGACCTTCCGCAGTTCTGGTCTACTTTTGTACATTTTAAAAAGCACATTTTCCTCATCCTTCTCCTAAGAGCATTGTTAAGTTTCAACTAACATTTGATTCTAAAAGGCCATAAATATCAGTATCTCTGAGATAATTTGTGTATAGAAGGGAGGTTTGTGACAGCACTTATTTTAAAAACCTAGGTGTGAAGGAATCACAAGTCCAGAAGGCTCCAAGTCTATAGTGGAAGGAATCATAGAGGAGGAAGAAGAAGATGAAGGAGGAAGTGAGTCGGTCAACAAGAGGAAAAAGGAAGATGACATGGAGGTGGGTAAAAGCCTGCATTGGAAGGATGGGGTGGGGATGGTTCAGAGTGTGGGGGTATGGGGAAGGGGAGGTGACATTGTTCTTTTGTCTACCATTAAATATTTTAGGGGCAAGGAGATGATGATAATAATAGATAAGGCACTTGTATACCAGTAAATATTTTAGGGGCAAAGAGATGATAATAATAGATAAGGCACTTGTAGATGGTGCTGACAAATTAGAGCCTAAAACTTACAGTATATACTTTACCCTCAAACAGACTGCTTCCTCATAAGGCTCTTTCTCACCTCTGTATTTCGGTTCCTGTAGTTTATTTCATGAGAAAATCCCGTTTCCTCCCATTCTGTACTAAACCCATCCAAATCTTACCCATTGTTTATGGTGTATCTCCTTGGGAAAGCTTTCTGATCTCAGTTTGTCAGTCCCTCTCCAAGTGCAGCACTGAGAGTCTAGATGACACAGCTCAGCACTTTGTTTTTTTGTAGTTGTGGCTAGCTCATAGATCTTATTTTCATAAGCCATATCTAAAGATACTGTAGTCTTCTGGTACTCATCCCTAGAATGCAGATGCAGAGTCTTCTAATTACCCAAGAATTGTCTCCCAACAAAACCTGTGTATTTTGAGGGCAGGAACTGATGTTCTGTATGAATTTCCCTTAGCATTTAGCTCAGGGTTGTGTGCGTAGAAGGTGTTCTGTGAGTACTTACTAAGCAGTTGATTTGAGAATAGTGGTAAAAGAGGTACTTCTTTCTTGGAAATGGTTAGTGAGCATGACCAGCAGACTTACTGGGATGGATTACAAACATCTTACTAATGGCAGGTAAAGGACTTGGTGTATACCACATATTCCTTTGCATTTGGAGATGCTACTGTTAGCAAGGAGGAACATCCTTTTTTTAAAACAGTATTTTTTATTTAATGAGGATCTTTTTGTCATCCTTAAGATCAGTGAATAATACCTTGTACGTCTTTGGTGTTTCCAAAAGTATAAATAATGCGTGATCAGTTTGCCCTCTCAACACTTTGAGAGATGAGAGAATATCTTCTTTTCCATGATAACAGTGTGGAAACTGAGATTCAGAAATGAAGAGATATGCCCAAGGTAATCAACTAGTATTTAGTAGATTTGAGCCTCTGATACAAACTCTGATCATTTACTTTTTACCTTTTATGTAGTGGAAACTACACATTTATCATATCTAGTTCTCATTTTAGCTTTGTTGTAGGTGTTATCACTGTTTTACAACTCAGGTACATATATTTGCCTATGGTCACACATAAATGTTAGCACTAAAACACATCCACATGCTTTGATTTTAATTCCAACTCTTTTTTTTTTGGTCATTGTTTATACACTCAATTATATGAAATTATTTAAACTCCAGCAGTTTTGTTACGAGGGCAAACTAAGGCACATCAAGCAATAAGGAATATAATTAAACAGTCTATGCTTGAGGAAAGACACAAAGAAACTCCAAACAATAGTCACAGCTTCTTGCAACTAGTAGATAAATAAGACCTGGAGATCTGTTGTACAGCATAGTAATTATAGGCAACAATACTGTATTATAAACTTCAAAGTTGCTAAGAGACTAGATCTTAATTGTTCCCACTACAAAAAAGAAATGATAATTATGTGACATGAGAGGTATTAGCTAATACTATGGTGGTAATCATATTGTAATATATAAATATAAGATCAACACTGTTGCACACCTTAAACCTACATAATGCTATATGTCAGTTGCATCTCAATAAAGAAAAAATAATTTATTAAATAAAATGATGGAGAAAATGTTAACACAAATTAAACTTAACAACAACAAAAAAGTTCACAACTTCTAAAGCTTGGTATCCAGGGGCCATTCAGGGCACATTAGCCCTTAGGAGCATCTCTGTTATAGCATAGCATAAAAAGTGGTGTTTGAAATGACTCTGAGACATACATAAGAGGTCATTTGCATCTATTCTGCTCTGTAAAAGAAGGTAAAGATATACATTTAATGGGGGAGGAGGGCAAATCTAATACAAAATGGTTAAAATACAGAAAAGGAGGGAAAACATTTAAGCTTTGGTGCTTATAGGAATAAGCTTCAGTTGTCCAGGATATATTCCTTTATGCCTAAATCTTTTTTTAAAGAACTACTTTATTGAGAGAGAATTAATCCAAAGTATACAATTCATTGGTTTTTTTTTAGTCACAAAGTTGTGCAACCATCACAACAATTTAATTTTAGAACATTTCATCACTTTTAAAAAACAATGTCATACTGTTTTTGGTCACTTTCCACTTTCCCCTAACCTCCTCATCCCTAGGCAACCACTCATCTACTTTCTGTCTATAGAATTTGCCTAATCTGGACATTTATTATAAATGGAACTATATAATATATGATTTTTTGTGACTAGTTTCTTTCAACTTAGCATAATGTTGTCAAAGTTCATCCATGTTGTAGTATATATTTGTACTTCATTCCTATTTATGGCTGAATGATATTCCAGTGTATGGATAGACCACATTTTTCATCCATTCATAAGTTAATGGACACTTGGTTGTTTCCACTTTTTGTCTACGAAGTATGCTGGCACAAACATTCGTGTACAAGTTTTGTGTGGACATAGGTTTTTATTTCTCTTGGGCATATACCTATAAGTGGAATAGCTGAGTGGTAATTCTGTGTTTAATCATTTGAGGAACAGCCAGGCTGTTATCCAAAGTGCCTGTACCATTTTATATTCCCACCAGCAGTGTATGAGGGATCTAATTTTTCTTCATTCTTGTTAGTACTTGTTACTGTCTGTCTTTCTGATTATAGCCACTCCAGTGGGTCTGAAGTAGTATCTCCTTGTAGTTTTGATTTACATTTTCCTAATGACTTGATGTTGAGCATCTTTTCATGTGCTTATTGACCATTTGTGTGTGTATCTTCTCTGGAGAAATATCTATTAAGATCCTTTGCCCATTTTAAGATACTGTTATTTGTCTCTATTACTGAGTGGTAAATGTTCTTTATATATGTGATTTGCAAATATTTTCTCCTGTGGGTTGTCTTTTCATATTCTTGGTGGTGTTTTGAAAGGACAAAAGTTTGATTTTAATTTAATTTATCTACTTTTGTTGTTGTTTTGGTGTCATATCTAAAAATGCTTTGAATAGCTCAAGGTCACAGAGATTTATGGCTATGTTTTCTTCTAAGAGTTTTCTAGTTTTAGCTCTTACATTTAGGTCTGTGATCCATTTTGAGTTAATTTTTGTATACAGTATGAGGTTGGGGATGTAACTTCATTTTTTTACATGTGAATATTCAGCTGTCCCAGCACCATTTATTGAAAAGACCCTCCTTTCCCCATTGAGTAGTCTTGGTGTCCTTGTCAAAGGTTATTTGACCATATATGTGAGGGTTCATTTCTGGGCGCTCTGCTTTATTCCATTGGTATATTTGTCTGTTTGTGTACCAGTACTGTACTGTTTTGATTACTGTAGCTTTGTAATGTTTCAAAATCAGAGAGTGTGAGTCCTCCGATTTGTTTTCTTTTTCATAATTGTTTTGACTGTTCAGTATCCCTTGAGATTCCCTATGAATTTTAGGATAAATTTTCCTATTATTGAAAAATCGCCATTGGGATTTTGAAAGTGATTGTGTTGAATCTTCAGATTGTTTTGGGAATAATGGACATCTTAATCATCTGACGATCTTTAATATAATATATTGCTGTGTCATGTTCACTTTTAGATTTTCATATTGTGGTTGATACAGTATCCCAATTATTTATTTCAGTTATAATATTTTTAATGATGCAGAAAAGTATAGAGAATTATTTATTTGTTTAGCTTGCATTTGTTGAGTGCTTTACTCTGTGCCCACCCATCTACTTTATATTGAGATTTAACAGATATTGACATTTTGTCATATTTGTGTCAGATTTCCTTTTTAAATTACTGTTGCAGGAACATTATATAATTATCATAAATCAAAATGTAAGGAAAAATGCTCTAAAACAAATCAACATATTTTCAGTTTTCCTTTCCAGTTCTTTCCCAAAGTATGCCACATTTTTCCAGTGGTAATTCTAACTTAGGTGACATATTGTGCTCTGCTTCTTTCACTTAATGTTATATTCTAAGCATTTTTTTCATACTGCAACATGTTTTTTGTAATTATCCTTTTTATGCTATGTTTTTTGCCAAGTGAAAGTAAGAGCAGCTCAGTCTTGGCTTTACCATTTACTAGCTTTGTAATCTTAAAAATGTCCTAAGTTCACTGAAACTAATAGAAGTAAAAGTAAACTTCTGATTACCTAAACACAGACATAACAATATATCACAAGGCTGTTATAAGGATTAAATATAGCCCTAGCCAGTTTGGCTCAGTGGTTAGAGTGTCAGTCTGTGGACTGAAGGGTCCTGGGTTTGATTCCAACCTCAGTTGCAGGCTCAGTCCCAGGCTCAGTCCCTGACCCCAGTCAGGGCATGTGTGGGAGGCACCAATTGATGTCTCTCTCACATCAGTGTTTCTCTGTTTTTCCCTCTCTCCCTCGCTCCCTTCCACTCTCTCTGAAAAGCAATGGGAAAAAATATTCTTGGGTGAGCATTAAAAAAAAAGTATTAAATGTATATTAAAATGCCTGGGACATAGTAGGCCCTTAATAAGTGCCAGTTTCTTTCCCTTTCCTTTTCTCAGAGACCTAGTTTTTATCCTGTTCCTCCAGGGGTTGCCCCCAAAGACTCAGAACTGCTCTTATTCCTCTAGACCAAGAAAGACCATCCATACACTTGGAGAATTGAACTGGCAAAAACTGAAAAATACTGGGATGGCTGGTTCCGAGGCTTATCCAATCTCTTTCTTAGTTGTCCTATTCCTAAATTGCTGCTCTTGGCTGGTAAGTGGATATATGCATGTATTAGTCAGATTGGGGTGCCATAACAAAGTTCCATGGACTGGGTGGCTTAAACAACAAATTTATTTTCTCAGTTCTGGAGGCTGAAAGGCTGAGATCAGGGTACCAGCATGGTCAAGTTCTGGTGAGAGCTTTCTTACTGGCTTGCAGACAACTACCTTCTCACTGTGTCCTTACATGGCAGAGAGAAAACAAGAGCAGGCTCTCCCATGTTTATTCCTATAAGGACACTCACTAATCCTGTCATATGAGGGCCCCTCCCTTATGACTACATTTAACCCAGTTACTCCCTTATGTAACCCTAATTACTTCCATATTGCTAAATATGGTCACATTGTAGATTAGGGCTTCAACATACGGATTTTTGGGGGGACACAATTCAGTCCATAGCAGTGTAGGTATATTGTCATTTGCATATGTTCTTATTTTATGTAAATACTCACCAAATGAGTAGTGACTTCCAAGGTGAAGTACTATCCTCACTCATTTGTGCCCTTTTTCTTCCCCACACCAGATCCCTAAACCTAATGAAGCATAACATCCACCTGGGATGGCCTGATTCTGACCTGGCCTCTCTCTGTACCTGGTCACGCCCAAGTCCTTCTCCTAGAGTGGTGTAAGGATATTCTGAGTATAATGGAAATTTTAAAAAGTAAAACCCTGTTTTCAGAAACCAGTTTAAATGAGCAAAGTGATTGCCTGGAAAGCTTCGTGTGGGGAGAATATACCCTCAGGGAGTTAGGATTGTCATTAACCTGAATTGAGAATGTCATCATGTTTACAACTTTGTGACAATTTTTACTTCATACTTGAACAGTAAAACCTACTTCCCACAGCCTTTTCTAGTAAGCTACTAATGGATTCTCTTATTTTTTTTCTAGGTGTTGACAGATTGGATAAAGATCTGACTATTGGCCAAATGCAAGGTAAGTCATCAAGAAGTTATATCCCTAGGTCAGTGATCTTCAACCATTTTCAAATATCTTATGGCACACATGAACTAATTACTAAAATTCTGCAGCACACCCCAAAATATAATTTTTACCGATCTGACAAAAAAGAAAGGTATAATTTTGATTGATTCGCACTGACCGGCTATTGTTATGTTGGCTGTTGTCTTTTTTTCTTTTTAATCCTCACCTAAGGATGTGTTTTTATTGATTTTAGAGAGCGATGAAGGGAGAGAAAGAGAGAGAAACATCGATATGAGAGAGACATGGATTGGTTGCCTCTCATATGCTCTCCAACCAGGATCAAACCCACAACCTAGGTGCCCTGGCAGGGAATCGAACCCACAGTCTTTTGCTCCAACCGAGCTACCTGGCCAGGGCTATTGCCATTTTTAATTTGACAGCCTAAAGGAAAAGAGGTCAGTGTCTCTGACTAAATAGGTATTGCATGTTTTAAAAAGTCTTGTGGCACACTGGTTGAAAATCACTGCCCTAGGTCATTCTCTGAGGGCACAAAAAGGTGCAGAGTCATGTGGAAATTATTATTTTGAGATGGTGAGATACAGTGGAGAGAGGTTGAGCTTTAGAGTTAGACCCAAATTTAGTACCCACCTCTGTACCTGACCTATTATATGATTATGGACAAGTTTTTCCCTTTTCTGAGCTTTGGTTTCTTCCCCTCCTAAAAATAAAAATTATACTGCCACCTGTATCTCAGAGTTATAAGGACTAAGATAAGACAATGTCTTTGAAAAGGGCATTATAAATTATAAAGTATGGTATAGGTATATAATATCATGAAAGATATTCTGAATATTTATCAATATTTTTATTGTTAGAAGTCTTAGGAAAGGGAAAGATCCAGGATAACCCAGATAAAAAAAGTGTAAACTTTATTTGGAAGACAGCATGGTGAGGTAGCTGGTAAAAGCAAGGACTCTGAGCTTTGGAGAACTGGATTTGAGTACTGTTACTTTCCTACTAATTTTTTTACTTTGGGCAAGCCACTTGACCTGCCTTGGCGTCAGTTTTCTCAGTCTATAAAATGAGGAAATTGACAGCAGCCTCACAGATATTATGAAGTGTGATGAGTAAGGAAAGTGACATGTCATACTCAGGTCCAGATGTGTTGGCCAGATGACAGTAGAGGCAGTGGGACCAGTTTTGTGGAGGCTTTTGCTTTAGTGTGGATGAAAGGCTTGGTGAAGGTGAAGTCAATAGGCATTGGCACCTTTTGGGTGATAGGAAGAAGGGGTGCGAACCCCAAGGCCAACATGTCAGGCTTAAACAGATTCTGTTCTTGACTTTCCTTCTTTTCTACTTTTACTGTCCCTGGGCAAATCTGATGACTTCTGTTTATACCCTGATAACTCCCAAAACTCAATGTCCAATTTATACCTGTTCTCTCCTGAGCTCCAGATCTGGCCCATGTGTCAAACCTGCTGGACATCTCCACTTAGATATTTCATGTGCCCCTTAAACTGTTCTTTTAGCTGTCCCCAAGCTCTTCACAGAGAAGGGGGCTATATTCCCCTTAAAATCATTCTTCAAAGACTCCTGAATGATTTATCAAACTCTAGCCCCAGACCCTCGTACCCGTTCCTTTCTCCAGCTGCATAGTGTTCTGATGCCTGGAGAAGGACCATGGGCTGGGACTGTGTTTTTACATCACTGATGATGGTAATTCTGAGCTTAGATACCTTTCCTTGAATTCAATTCAAGCAAACTTTTCCTAAGTACTCTTTCTGTGCAAGACCTATGCTTGCTGCTGGGCAGACAGAAGAATCAAACATGGCCCCTGATACTATATGAAAGCAGGTGATCTGGACAGGACTCACATTTGGAACCAGTGTTGATCACCAGTCTTGGAAATCAGACAGTTCTGGGTTTAAATCCCTGTTCTTGGTTTTGTGGCCTCAGTGAATTGCTAACTTCTTTAATCCAGAGGGTTTTTAAAGTCTATAAAATGGAGGTAATACTATATTTCAATACAGTTGTGTGAGGCTTAAATGAGAAAATCTGGATGAAGTAAAGAATCTGACAGATGATAGCTTTGCTATGTTCAGGAAGCAGTCATGAGTCCCCAGCGGATGCCCTTCTGTTTCTCCAGTAAAGATTATGCCAAGACCACCTTCTCTTTCAAAGTATCTCATGAGTGTAGAGATTAAATAGCTGTGATAAGGGACATTCCATAAAACAAAGGGAAATGGCTAACTTGGCATAGATTTCTAACCTCAGCTTTCCCAGGATTGTGTTTAAACCAGCTGAGTTAGTTACAGAATCCTGGAAACCCAGCACTCATTCATGGTACAATTTGGGTAAATAATTTAGGTTCTCTAAAATTAAGGTTTCTTATCTGTAAGATGACAGGAGAGGGTTTGGAAATATTCCCACCTCATAGAGTAATTGTGAGGATTGCCCATGGTCACGTTATTTTATGTGTACTGGATATAGTGTTGTTAGTATGTGTGAATTCTTGATTCCTTATATGCCCATTCTTTCAAAGAGGAATGAAAAATGCATCTCTAGTCACTAATTCTGGGGTGGTTGGAGTTAAAAGTTTTATTCGGTCATTTGCTCAATTATTCATCCAAGACATACTAAGCACTTGCTCAGTGTCTTGCCCTGTGTTGGGCTTTATTAGGGAAATAGAGCAAGTAATGATACTAGCCTGTGTCCTTACAGAAATGACACACTCCTGGGTAGGCAAGCATCAGTGGCGTTTAAAATATAAGCTTACAAAACAAGAGCGGCACACGCTGCTCTGTTTGGAGTCAAATGCATTCACAACAGTACATTAAGAGATAAAAGGGAGATGGGAGTAGGCTGGAGTACCCGGGGCAGCTTACTGCAACAGGAGGGGCATAAGCTGGGCCTTACTGAATGGAATGGTCTTAGTTCCTCTACTAATTAAGCTACCTTGGGCAAATCACTTTACTAATATGACCTCAGTCAGTTTCACCATCTCAAAAAAGAATTTTAGTATTTGTCCTGCTTAGTTTTATAGGGTAGATTTGAGAATCAACTTAAAACATGGATAGAAGAGTATTTTGAAAACATTTTAAAGCACTGTGTGACAGGTAAGAATCACAGAATGTAATGACCAAGAGGGCTTTCAGAGCTTACTCCCTTGTTTTGTAAATGGAGATACTGAGGCTCTGAGAGTCTGTTCCCTACTTTTGGGAACTCTGGGTCCCATATTCTTTAGTCTGCNAGAGTCTGTTCCCTACTTTTGGGAACTCTGGGTCCCATATTCTTTAGTCTCATATTCTTTAGAGATCTCGCTTCATCAGTCATCTCTGTTTACTCTTAATAACGATCACATTAGTTGTGAGCTTGGTGCTCCACAAGACAGGGTGAGGAAATGCTTAGTACAGTGTCTGGCATGTAGTCAAGCACTCAAATGGTAACTTATTGTCATAGTAAATTTCAAAATCCTTAACATAGCTCACAAAACCCTTCATGGTGTGGTCCTTGCTCACCTTCCCAGCCCCATTAGTAACTTGCACAAGCACCGTGCTACGCTCTTTATTCCCAGGAACAAGCACCATGTCATCCTCCTTCCCTTTTGTAGGCTGTTTTCTTCTGTGGGAAGCCTCCCTGGGTCCCTATTTGATTATGAAGCCCCCTTTCTTATGTTCTTCCAGTTCCATGTGTACAGTTTAATAGCAGGAACTACATGTTGCATTAAAATGTTGGTTCTTGTGTTTTGCTTCCCCACTAGACTATAGTAAATCCCCTGAAAAAAGGAACTGTTTCTTCCTATATGTCAGGCATGAAGTAAATGCACATTAAATGGTTGCAGACAGAAAAAGTGCAGGGAAAAGGATTTGTCCAAATTACAATTACAAGTATTACCATCCTCAGGGGCTTGGTGACTAAGTCCTGTGAGGCTGCAGAGGTGGTAAGAAGAGAGCTGTTTTAGTCCCTGAGGTTGCCTGGATTTGTTTCCTCTCCAGGGAAGTTTCAGATGCAGGTCCTACCTCAGTGTGGCCACGCAGTCCATGAGGATGCCCCAGACAAGGTGAGTCCAATGCTTAATGACCGAGAGTTGTGAGGACCTCTGTGAGAGTAACCTTGGGTCTCACAGAAGATAGAACATACATCTAAATCAGTCTGTGTTGCCTGCAGCTATTGCTGTGGGATCTATACAGATTCAACTCCACCATCTCCCAAACTTCTCCCTGGCAGCTGCCTATGGTCATGGCTTTCTGTGTGTGGTCTGAGAAGCTACTGGCACTCTGCTATTTTATCCTGGGACCCTATGGTTAAGATCTTAAGCTCTATTTCTCCATTACTTCCAAAAGCCATATGGAAAAAGGGATATTTGGGGTACAAACTGGTTCCTAAATTATACTAACAGGAATTAATAATATGCATGCTCCCTATAGGAAAAAGTTACTTGCAACTCCAGAGGAATAAATAAGCCTTCACATCATTCTTCTTGACTTCTCTGGAGCCATTCCTGGCAGGGATGGTGGGGAGAAGTCTCCCAGACCTATAGGACCCATGAGTTCACTGTAGGGCCTAAGCTGCCAATAGAGCCCATAGGACCTCCAAGGCTGAGGCCCATTGCTAACCTTCATATGGCTAGGAGTATCTCTCTGTTTTGTAGGTAGCTGAAGCTGTTGCCACTTTCCTGATCCGCAACAGGTTTGCAGAGTCCGTCGGTGGATTCCAGTGGTAAGGAAGTACAAAGGTTTAAGGAGCCCAACTGCTGGCCAGCTCTAACAAAAAGATATTTGCAGGATTGTAAACATCTCTTCCTTAACCCTGCCTGGTTTGATCACCATGCCTTTTCCCCCCTCCTCAACACAGAGCCCAATGTGTGTTTCTACAATGCCATAGTTTGTGTTCTCTGGTCGTGGGTTGTTGCTGAGCTGAAATTAAGTTGTCTGTCCCTCCCCCGACCCCCCACGATGTGCACTTATTGAGGTGGCTATTCTCTGAGGAGTCTGCGATGGGAATCAGTCCTTTTCCAGGCTCTTAGAGAAGTTCTGAGGAAGCCGGGCAGGTTGTGGAGGCTGAGTAGAGATCCAGAATAGGGTGTTTAACCTTAGTGCTATTGACACTTGGGGTGAGTAATCCTTAGTGTTGGGGACTACCCTGTGCATTATAGGATGTTTAACAACATCCCTGGTCTCTGTGCACTAGAGGCCAGTAGTACCCCCACACTTACAGTTGTGACAAGCAAAAATGTCACTAGATTTTGCCACACGTCTCAAGGAAAGCAAAATCACTCCCAGTTGAGAACCAATGGTCTAGGGGGGAAAGGATGCCTCTCATCCTAGGATGCTCTTCATCTGATTAGGGAGACAAAGTTGGGCTCTTCGTTGAGGAGGAAGAGAAGCATAGGGGCCTAAACCACATGGCCTTGGCTCCACCTCAGGGAGCTCGTGGTCTGTGCTACAGAAGGCCCCTGACCCTCAGAGAGCCCGCAGCCTGATGAGTCACGCCTGCCAGGTGGAAAGTCTCTTATCTGATTTTGGTGAGGGTCCAGGGAAACCCATTCCCCACCCTCAGGAAGTTTGAAGAAGAAGAAATGAAGAAAAAGAAATGGCTTCTGCGTTAGAGAACTTCGACTGCCAGGGCCTGGGAGGTGAAGGTGACAGGGCAGGGTGGGCATTAGAAGTGATGACAGGAGCCTGGCATAGTGAGCCACACAAGTGACTCCCTTATGCTGAACTACCCCTCAGGCAACTGACCATTGATGGATCCCAGGAATCAACAGTAAAGACGTAATTTCTCTTAATCAGTGTTTGGGGCCCCTGGACTATTTGGAGATTTGGTCAAGTCAGCAGTACACTGAGAGCAGAACCTGGGTACAGCCGTGGGTGGGGTTGTGGGAGGTGGGACAGATCTGCAAGGGCCTTGCTGGTTATTAGGAAGGGCTTCCGGAAGGAGGCAGAGTGACATTTGCTTTCCCTTCTTTTCCACTCTCCACAGTGTGTTTCCTGGCTGTTAGTGACCTGCTCTTCATCCCGCCCTCAACGTTGAGCTCTGTTGTAAATACATCGCACCAGAGGCCACTGTGATGCCGCTGTCTCCTCCTCACCATCCTGCCTGATCACGTGACACCGGCTCCCTATAGACGGGCATCCCCAGGTGTACAAACCCTTTTGTGTATTTCTGCCAAAAGCATTGTTTTCCAGGGCCTTTGACCATCAGTCTCCCTAGTACAAGGCTCCCCGGATCATACCCCTTTCCTGTTCAGGGGTTGCCTGTTCTCCCTGCCTTACCTAGGGTAAAGCCTCCATCAGAACTGCCACCCTGCACCCCTAATCCTGGCATTAGGCAATGCACTTGGGTCCACATGTCTCCCCAGGCTCAGGGACCTCCATTCCTTGAGGTTGTTCTTGGCATGGTCCTGCCCTACCTCAAGGGATGGGCCATGCACAGGGTGGTCCTTATTTTTCCCTTTCAGATAAAATACCAGTCAGGTACCTTTTAATCCCAGTCTTACTCTTCCAGTTTTGGAAGACCTATAGACTATAGTCCAGGATCCAATTCTTAGGTATAAGGAGAGGTGGTGGAGAGCATCACAAGAAACCATCCTGAAAATCAGGTCCAGCCAGTCCAAGCACATGGCCTCCTATCTGGGGAGAGCCCACTGTCCCACTCCCACATGTCTGGGCACCTGTCCTGGGCTGAGGCCAGGCTGCTCCAGGGGCCTCTAGGGCCCTCACCTGTTACAGAGCAACCCAGGTTAAGTACAGCCCACGCACAAAGCCACAGGCTAAAGCCTGTGCAGTTTTTAAGAATCAAATTTAACCATTTTCATAATTGGTCCTTGGAGGTGTGCAGAGTGCCCGCTTGCCTCTTCTAGACCCACACAGCTTGTCTTCGGCATTTGTGGTTTCCATGTCACTCTTCATAGGAACAGCCAGCATCCTCAGTCTTTGCCTCTTCCAGCTGCCTCATCACAGAACTGCGGCTTCCACCTGCTGCCCAGGCACCCGTTTCCCAGGGCAGGGAGGGGCAGTCTCCTGCAGCCCATCTTTTCTGTGACTGTCTTAGGTGATGCATAGCCCCCTCCACCTTTTCACCCAACAACTTCCTATCCCTGTCCTGCTGCATGGTCCGGAGTCTGGGACCTACTTTGTTTGTTATTTATGACCTTGTTAAAGAAAATAAATATCTCCCAGCCTTTATCGATCTAGTTTTTCTCTGTGAAGTTGTCATTATTTCTGCTGATCTGGGGGCAGGGGACAGTTCATTGGATTTAGTTACCATAGCTCCAGAAAGCCCTTTCCTGCAGCCCATCAGCATTGTATGCTCTGCCTGTTCCCCAGGTCTAGGATGCCCAGTGGAATGGACGGCCAGCCTCCACAGCAGCCAAGGAAACCTGGGTTCTAGTCCCATCTCTTCAAATTATTTGCTCTGTTAACTTGGGCCTAGAACAGGACAGTCTGTGCACTGTTCACATGACCTCAGCCACTCATGGCTTCATATCTGCCAACACCCAGACTTTGTCCACAACCCAGATCATCTCCTGAGCTCTAGACACTTAGATCCATCTACCTCCTCCTCTCTCAAATGACCAAAAGCTACTCATGTTGACCATTCCTAAAACTGAATTCACCTTCCCCCTAAAACTAACTTGTTCTTCCTCCTGTGTTTCCTAGCTCAGTAAGTGGTAGGTACCACCATCTCTCCAGTTGTCCAAACCAAGAGCTCCCTAGACAGCTCTCTTACACCCATATCCAGTCTACCATCAAACCTGTATTGACCCACAGCCTCCGCCATAGCTGAGGCCTCATCTCGGATCACTTCAGTGCCCTTGCTGGTTCCCTGACAGCCCCTCCCTTGGTCACCCTCTGCACACTGTTGGAGTCCCTCCTAGAAGGCTTTGGGGCCAGGCTGCCTAAGTTAGAACCCAGGGCCCAGCCTTTACGGTTTGTATGAGAGCTACATTCTGTGCCGTAGTGTCCTCATCGGAAAGGTGGAGATCGATAGTGCCTACCCACAGGGTCTTGAGAACCACGTAAGTTAATATAGGTTAATTCGCTCTCTCAGAAACTGGCACAGGGGAGGCACTCAATAAATAGCTCCTGTCATGTCACTCCCATATTATACTTAAGACCTTTGTTAGTCAAAGTGGTCTAGTGGTCTGTGGGCTAGTAGCATCAGTATCATCTGGAAGCTTATTAAAGATTTTGCCCCACCCCAGACCTAATTGAGTAAGAATTAATCTATATTCTAACAAGCACATTAATTCTGAGAAGTTCTGGGTTAGATGTTCACTAAATATTTCAGGGTAAAGCATGAGCTCCCTAGCAGAGAAGAAAAGTGCTTGTGTGTGATTTCATTTCTCCCACCAATCCCTGGG